TTGGAGGCTGAGTCGGGGTATTCCTGAGCGGCTGGTAAAGGGGACGGTAGAATGTTAGAAATCGGGCTGGCCCGGAAGAGCCCCGATCTGAAACGCCCACACTCAGGTGTGAAGCATCCCCTTGGAGCCCCAGGTCAGGGTCTGCAGCATGTCTGCTGGGCTGCGTCAGGCCCCGTCAAGTGGGGCCTGGAAGTCCAGGTGAGGGCCGGCCCGCTCTGAGGGGCCCAGCCTGCACTGGTGGGTGTCACTGGGCTGGACCCCGAGGTGGAGGCAGCGAGATGCTCCAGGCAGAGGGACTGGCGCGTGCGAAGCCCCAGCAACAGGAGAAACTGCCAGCAGCCTGGCGGGGCTGGAGTGTGGCGTGAAGGGAGGGGGAGGACACGGGCCGGGGCACTGGGGAGCCTAGGAGGGAGCTCAGCTCTGTGTACAAAGACCCCTCCAGAGCCGCGTGGGGAAGGGCAAGAGGGAAAGACTGGAGGCAGGGAGGCTGGGAGGGACTCCTGGAGGAGGAGGAAGCTGACAGTGGGGCCAAAACTAGGGTGGTGAGAAGGGGCTGGAGCCGGGAGAGACGGGAAAGAGGGCGGCTGGGGGACAGGGTGGCGGGGACGGTGGGCTCCTGCACAGGCCCGGGCACACTGGACTCCTTGGGGTGTTCGCTAAGGTCTCTCCACACCGCTTATCCCCGGGGTCCTCCCACCCCAGCCCCTGCTCCCCTCGTATCGTGCATGGCGCTGGGCCCTCGCTGCTTGGGGCCGAACTGGCTTTTTTTTTTTTTCGCCCCCCCCCCCCCCCCCCCCCCCCCCAGCCCTCGCTGCTTGGGGCCGCACTGGCCTGGGCCCAGGCCGCCCCAGCCCAGGCTCTGCTCTGCACCCAGGTCGGGCGGCCTGGCCCTCAGCCGCTCACCGCGGACTTCCAGCTTGCACTCGGCCAGCGCTTCCCCCAGCTCGTTGACGGCCTGGCAGGAGTAGGTCCCTGCGTCGAAGGGCGACAGGCGGCGGATGTTCAGGGTCAGCACCCCCTGGTAGTTGGTCATCAGGAACTTGGGGTCCTCACCGATCTCCATCTTGTTCTTCATCCAGACCACCTTCGGCTGTCGGGGTGAGGAGGCCAACTTGGAGGGGGCCCCCTGGCAAGGACCGGGGGCTCGCGGGACAGATCCTTAAACTGGCTGTGCCACTTCCTGGCGGGATAGCCTGGAGTGGTCGCCCTGCCCTGACCCCCGTTTCCTCTGCAGCAGTGGGGGGACGAGCCCCACTTCACAGGGTGGCAGTGCTCCTCACTAACCCCAGAGGGGCAGGCTAGCGGTCCCCAGGGCCCCAAGACCTGGCCTCTGGGTGCTGCCGCCCGCCTACCCGCCGCTCTGGCCACACGGGCTCAGCATCCTCGTGTTCTGGCTGCAGGGACTACCCTGCCCTCCTGGGGCTCAGCTCAGATGTGCCTCTTCAGTCTCAGATTGCAGGTCGCTGCCTGCCCTAGAGGGGATGGGGCCATGCCACGGGCCCACAGGAGTGCACCTTGCGAGCCCACTCACACCTTCCTGATGTGCTGAGTGACCCTGGGTTCGTGTTGATCTCCCCCAGCATGCAGGAAAGTTCACTGGAAAGTACATTGGAAAGCCTCTAAAAGCCCATGGGTGCTTAAATAAATGGAGGGGGACCAGCAGTGGGTGTAATGGCTATGTCGCTGGACTTCCATGTAGTCAACCATGGCTCGAGTCCCGGACCCGGTGGCTTAAACTCATGCTGGCCGCGTATGCGTGCGTGTCCAAGATCCAGAGAGGAGAATGGAGGAGACGGGATTGTAGCATGGCCGTGCCCCCTGGGGGGTGATTTTTCGCTTTCTCTCTCTCTCTGGCGAGTGTATGCACCCTAAAGCAAAAACCTCCAAAATGAATGAATGAATGAATGGAGAGGCTGGACGGCCGTGCAGTGATAAGATGTAATGCTCCGTGACGCAGTCCCACTGAGAAGGTTCCAGGTTCGAATCTAGCGAACACCCTGAGTAGCCCCAGAGGGATCACGTTCCCTGTCTGAGGCAGCCTGTCCTCTCTCAAGCTCATGAAATACTTTCTTTTTTTTAATGGGGCTGGTAGGTGGTGTGGTGGTTAAGGCGCTGGACTCCCACGTGACTGACCACAAGTTGTGGACCCAGAGGCTTGAAACTCACACTGGGTTTATGAGTGTGCGTGCTCAGAATCCCAGGAGAAGGGATTGCAGGGTGGCCAGCCCTCTGGGGGGGGTGATTTTTCGCTTTCCCTCTCTCGCTCTCTCGCACACACACTATGGCAAAACCTTTTTTTGGGGGAGGAGAGGTTTTGGCTAGAAGGCACGTGCGCTCGCCAGAATGACAGAGACAACAAAGAAAAATGACAAAGACAGAAAGCGAAAAATCACCCCCCAGGGGCTATGGCCACGCCACAATCCCTTCTCCTCCTCCATTCTCCTCTCAGGATCTTGGGTATGCACACACGCCGGGTGTGAGTTTAAGTCACCAGGTCCGGGACTCGAGCTACAGTCGACTACGTGGAAGTCCAGCGACATAGCCATTACGCTAGCTGCTGGTTCCCTTGAACTGTATTTTTCACCTTATGACATAATCTTGTCTCTGGGAGTGGCTGACCCCCTTTCATGCTGTCCACAGTCACAGGCTTGGGCAGGATCCCGGGATGCTGCCACCAGTGGCTTGGCCACTGTGGCTGTCTGGGAAGGCCTCTTCTTCCTCCCTCCCTTCCTATTCTGTGTGGCCCCTACCCCTACTAAGGTGCCTCCTCGGTTGAAGGCGATCTACTCAGACTGAAGGAGTAGCTGCCAGAGACCCTTCAGAGACCTTCCCTAGATCCCAGGGGCGGAGGCACTGCCTGTGGTGGGCGTCCTCACAGCACTGCTCTCCCCTGGTGCAGCATCAGAAGCCAGGGCAGTGGCAAGTGGAGAGAAGCTGCAGTCGGGGGGGTGGGGGCATGGGACAGAGGGCTTATAGAGTGGCTGCCTCACCTCCTTCTACAGCCAAAGGCTCATCCCAAATTGCTCTTCAGTGCCAGCAAGCAAAGAGACCCCACAGAAATTCTTGAGCATTTGGTGCAGATTTACTGTAAACTACTCAGGCAGCCTTAAAGGAGCACCGCAGCACCCCCTGGGTCAGTGTTTCATGGAAATCCATCCCAGGGCCACGGCAGCCAGTCATGTGCCTTGGCAGGGGAAAGGGCTGAGGTGAGACCACGCTTCGCAGGCAGGTCATGCTTTGAAAAACTTTTCGCCTTAGCTGTTTTCCCATTTTAGGGAGGAGAGATGGGATAGGTGAGCATCCTCTTAACCATATTCCTCTACCCCTCTTCCTCTTCATCCCTCCTAAGCATTGTGTGTCAGGAAGCACAGTTACAGGAAGCAAAGTAAGTTAAGGTAGTTTTTAGAGTGCTGAACATTGCAGCCATCAGGAGACTGTAGATGTGGCATTGTATGGATCTCAGCTAGTAAATTTGATTTTAATATATAGCTTTCTTGGGACCAGCAGTTAGTGTAATGGCTATGTTGCTGGACTCCTACGTAGTCGACCACGGTTCGAGTCCCAGACCCAAGTGGCTTAAACTCACACCAGGCGCATGTGCATGTGCGCCCAAGATCCCTAGAGGAGAATGGAGGACAAAGGATTGAGGCGTGGCCATCCCCCCTGGGGGGTGATTTCTCACTTTCTGTCTCTCTGTCTCTCTCTGTCTGTCTGGTGAGCACATGCATCCCTATAGCAGAAACCTCTCCAAAAAATAGAAAAGAAAAAAAAAATATATATATATATATATATAGCTTTC